TTATAAAGTAAAGCCAATCCTTTTCCCCTTTTTTTCAAGCAAAGCCCATCCCTCTCAGTTTTATCAGTTCAAAGCCCACCCCTCTCAGTTTTATCAAGTCAAAGCCTATCCCTCTCAGTTTTATCAAGTCAAAGCCCATCCCTCTCAGTTTTATCAAGTCTCAAAGCCCATTCCTCTCAGTTTTATCAAGTCTCAAAGCCCATTCCTCTCAGTTTTATCAGTTCAAAGCCCATTACTCTCAGTTTTATCAAGTCAAAGCCCATCCCTCTCAGTTTTATCAAGTCAAAGCCCATTCCTCTCAGTTTTATCAAGTCAAAGCCCATTCCTCTCAGTTTTATCAAGTCAAAGCCCATTCCTCTGTTTTATCAAGTCAAAGCCCATGTCTCTCAGTTTTATCAAGTCAAAGCCCATGTCTCTCAGTTTTATCAAGTCAAAGCCCACCGCTCTCAGATTCATCAAGTCAAAGCCCATCATTTGTATATTTTTTAGTACGACCTGTAAGCTTGGTCTTCACAATCATGAGTTGACTTTACAAGCTGTGTATGTATGACTTCATTCATATTATGTAACTACATGTAAATAAAACAAGGTGGAATGAAGTAAAGTACTGGATACGACAGCTGAAAGAAAACACAGTAACATACCTCCCCATATACATCCATTCTTTTGACTGTAAGGCCAGAAATAGCAAACGTATTGATTGTAAACATCACCTGTAAAAATAACACCAGTTTTCAATAGAGAATTAACCTTAGAATGAATAAGCAAATGGATCTTAGGTTGTTTGTATAGCTGGCTGTTAGTGACTCAGTGAGTATGCTCAGGAAGACAGAGATTGGCTGGGCAGGTGTGCAAGGAAATGCACAAGCTGATAGGTTTGCAGGTGAGGCCACTGTGAAGGGCGGATGAGCCATGGACCAGGTTGATACACTGAATGCTCTATGAGAAGTAAGACATCTGCAAGAACCAAGTGCCTGAATCTGCACCCATGACCAGACTGCAAGAACAGCCAGATAAGAGTACTATGCAGGAAGTCAAAGAAGAATAAGAATCCAACAGAGAACTGGTGTTGTCAGCCCTTACATCCTGCAGGATTTGCTAAAAAGGATCAAAGTACTTATGGAATGAATGGTTCGATGTGCAGTGGGGATAATCTTTCGACTAACTAACAATTAACTAGCTGGTTGTTTGGTTGATTGCTTGATTAATAGTTTGTTTGAAAAACTTCTGGATGACTGTGTGTAACTCTTTCAGTCCCTGGCAAGCAATTCTTTAATTATTATCTCAAAACTTTTTTTTAAATTTAGAGTAAAATGTCCGGGTCTGAACCAGTTTTTAACTCTTTGAGTCCAGGGGGTTTAGCATCACAGGCCCAAGGGGTAGTCAAGAGAGACGTAAAATCAGTGCATCTTGCGTTCATTGCGCTTCTAGGTAGGAATCTATGAACGTATGATGCGTTCCTTAGGATTCAAAGAGTTAAAAAAACAGTATAGGACAAAATGAGTTACAGTAAACGTGGAGTTATAATGGGATAATTAAGGTCTGATGAGGAATATTTCATATTTTGATTTTACAGAACATCAAAGAATAAAATAGTTTTGTCATCTGGCCAAAATGGAACAAAATCATCCAGCAACTAGAGTGCATTAGATGAAATCCACAGGCTACAAGGCAAGAGGATGACCAAGAAAGAGATGGGTGGAGAGAGTAAAAACGACAATACAGAAATGCAACATTACATTAGCATGAGCTAGGCAACTAGCAAAAGACAGGAAACTGCATAAAACTCCACTCAGCATAAGCTGTAGGACAAAAGAAGAAGAAGCAGAAGATAAGGACTAAGAAGTTAAGAAAAGTATCTCCATTATGCACTGGAGATCAGGTTGTCTAAAACCTGAAAGTGGCTTGTATCTGTCAAGGTGAAAACTTCTGACAGAACTTTGCTTATGCAGTTTCCTCATATGGACTGTAGTCTACGGTTTCGCTGCCTGAGTTACTGAGTTTATGTTAGGTGCAGCCCTGTGAGATGTGTTTTTCATGTGGAATGCCTTTCCTTTGTGCAACAGTTATGTTGAGGTATTTAATTTAGCCGGTGTGCGTGTGAGCTGGTGAAATACCTTATTTAATATTCTACGTGTGTAAAGCCAACTCATCGGGCCGACTACTTTTATCAACAACAAACTGTGTTTCTGGTGATGACCATTGGCTTTGGCGCCTCTAGCAACTGCCATATGCATTTACTGTGTGCACTTATTTCTGGATTGTTCCAGGACATTGTTTCTTCACCTGTTTTTTTTCAAATGTGACATTCATCCTTAAAAGGACAGTTGGCACACTGTGTTATGGTTTCAAACTTGGCTGTGAGATCTGCACCAATATATCTGTTGTTGGTCTCAATGGGGAAACAATCTGACCATGTTTAACCCTTAGGTTGTAATTGTGGTCTGGTTTTACTTGTGCCTTTTACGACAAAGTATTAGGGGACAATGGATCTATTCAATTATTCCTCCAAAATGGGGCCCTAGAACACACATGGGCAAGTTGTATGTTTGCCTGTTTCTCTGACTGTTTGTTTGACTGTTTAGCCGGCTGTTTGTTTGACTGTTTGGTCGGCTATTTGTTTGAAAATCTTCTTAATGGCTGTGTCTCTTGGAGCTCAGGTTGTCAGAATCTTTATCTATCAGATTGAGGTAAAATATTATTTTCAACGAGGTATTTTAGCATGCAAACCGAAAATGACCTCATTTACCAACAGTGAAAAAGCAGAAAATGCAATGGTACAGAGACATAAGATCTATATTCTCCAACACAATACTACATGGTTCGGCAGAGGGGAAGAAGAAAGGAAGCCGGGGCCTTGTTGCAGGGGGAATAAAAATAGACCCACCTAATAATGAGCACGTTGTAAGAACCGACTAACTATGGGTGTTTCCTTCAAAGTCAGAGTGCATCTGCCTTAGAGGCCATGAACCAATAGTCTGCATATGAATAACCCAGAGCTGTAAAATGAATGTGAACACAAAACTCAAATTCTAGACAAAGACCAAAGTCTAAAAGTGGATGAACCACCATAACTTTCCGCTGGAGTTTACAGCTGGTTAATGCTAAAAAGAATCATACTTACTGTAATTGTTGGATTTGATTCTGGAATTGCAGCACCAGTTTGGAGCGTTATCTGGAAAGGAATTAACAAGTTTATGGATTACACTTAAATGTTCAGTCGTTTTTATCCGCTTAAAAAAAAATTATATTAATACATAACCCAATAATGAGTTAGAGAGATTATATAATGGAACAGCAATACATTCAATCATGAGTTAACAGGGCTATCATGATAACAATGGCACATCTTGATCTTCAAATACAAGAACTATATGATGGGAAACAGTTCAACTTAATCACGAATCATGGAAATTGCACAGAGAGAGCATAAGTACATCTTAATCATGAGTCACAGTGATAAAAACATCATCAAATTTCAACCATGAACCTCAGGGATGGCATGTTATTTGTGTATGTCAGCCAAAAGAATTTGTTTAATGTGCTTCAATTGGTTTGTAAGTCCATCTATTTGTTAGTTCTCCTTTTTGTGACACTCCATACTGACACAGTATGTTGATAAAGGTGGAGATTGGCATGCTATGTGTAGAGTGGCAAGTATCGCTTCAGAGGTCCTGGGCAGTTAGCAGAGATCATGTCAATGTATTGAGAAAAGAGCAAGCAGATAGATGGCCAATTCTGCACCACTTGGGGGTGGGGGGGGGGGTGAACTGTTGTATGACAAGCTAGATGTTGTGAGTCCCCTTTGGGAGTGAGTTAACAGTGCAGAGGCACAAATAGATAACTATGGTCTGACAAGAACGGCCCTGTGAGGAGTTACCTGAGGATCTGGCCAATGCTTAACACTCAAGAAAAAAAAACAAGATGGATATACAGTCAGACAGTTACTGGTAGCATCGGAATTGGAACTCTGTGCTTCCTGATGAAGATAGGGACAGAGCACTTATAGGAGTGTCCCGAGTGCTGTGATGTTGATTCCTAATTCAACATTCTACATTGTGACACCCCCCTGAAGGCAAAGAGAGAAAGACTAAGCAACACAACATAAAATCCAGTGCAGTGAAATTAATCCTCTCATCTTTAAGTGACTGTCCTCTTCCACACAATTAGTACAAGATGTGTGAATGGGTTGGTACAAGATGTGTGAATGGGTTGGTACAAGATGTGTGAATGGGTTGGTACAAGATGTGTGAATGGGTTGGTACAAGATGTGTAAATGGGTTGGTACAAGATGTGTAAATGGGTTGGTACAAGATGTGTAAATGGGTTGGTACAAGATGTGTGAATGGGTTGGTACAAGATGTGTGAATGGGTTGGTACAAGATGTGTAAATGGGTTGGTACAAGATGTGTGAATGGGTTGGTATTCTGTAACCACATCAGGCCTCAAATACTGTTTGGTAATTCCCAATGTGAGCCTACATTTCCAGTATACTCTAAGGGTGGGTCTCTGTGGCAATGTGGTCAAGCTGTTTGCTTCATGCTCTGAAGTTGTTGGTTCCGTTATGAGTGCACATTTTATAGAGATCCCTGGGAAGCAATACTAGAGCAATGGGGCTTGAGTGACATTCTTGGCAAGTGGCTAGCTATACTGTGAAGATAGACTGGGGAAAATAATAGGGAACAGACTGGGGAAAATATGATGAGATAGAATAGGGAAAATAAAAGGGGACAGACTGGGGAAAATAAGATGGGATAGAATAGGGTAAAAATGAGTTGAAAGATTTTTAAAAAAAATTTAAATCATATTATCAGTCAATGTATTCATATACAATATCTATGTCATCAACTCCTACTGGGTATGTTAGGTATGCAAACACTGAAATGACTGCTGAATTGGAGGATGTAGCACAACTGAGTCGGATGGATTTGCTAAGATGCTGATATGGGCAACAAGTAACAAGTAAATGTAAACAATAACAACAACACAAAAGTACTAACACTGCCTTTGATGTTTGGCAACTTGGCAGGGTCAATCCTGCCAACATCCCATGTCATCAGTTTAGACACAGGGTCAAAGGAGTTTTTGCCCTGGTTAGAAGTCAATGTTGCACTTAAAACGGTCTTGGGAAATTGAACCTGAAGCACAACGTTCTCAATCTGCGTGGAAAGAAACACAACAAGGTCACAGTTTTAAAGCAAACAGTTTATGAGATCAATCAGAAAAGGTTAGTCATAGAGGCAATCCAGGATGAAGGACTGGAGAAAACAGAGAATCAGTCAAGTACTCATTATTTTGTCTTCAGGTGGCATAGAGAGGAATAGTTGCTGGTCTCTGCATTTGATAAGTTGTGACAGCTAGTGTCTTTCAGTATGGATGCCCAATGTCTCTAATGTTTCAATATGGCAGATAGCTAGGTGGTTTTTTTTTTTTTGCTTCTGGCCATGGTTTGTTAATTCAGTTTCCTCATATGGACAGGAGTTCATGGCTTCATTACCTCTGCTACCAAGTTAAGTGCTTAGCGCAACACTGTGAGCTGTGTATTTAGTGTGAAATGCATTTCATCTGTGCCCAACGTGGATGGTATTCTGATATTGGAAATTTTTTTTTATTAATGTAAATGATATCACGAACCCTGGCGGGGTACCCATTGACCAGTGGACCACCGAATGGGAAACACATAACTTTCAGGAGTTTCACACTTCACAAAATATAAATCCAAACTCAAAACACCCAAAACCTAAAAAGAAAAAAACTGACAAAAATATAATAAACACCTCACAAAAATATAATAGAAACCTCACAAAATACTACACAAACATCACAAAATCTAACTAAAATATAATACAAACCACACAGAATATAATTAAAACCTCACAAAATACAAACCAAAGCTCACAGAAATATAATATAAATATTACAAAATATACTAAAGACTTCACAAAAACAATACAAACCTCACAAAGTATAATACAAACACTCACCGTCTTTCCCAGATTCTGTTTTGGTCCAATTGTAACATCAAACTTGCCCCCACTTCCTTCTCTGTATGCAATGCTGTGTTTCAGGTAAATTGGTAAATTTACTGAGCTGGGGATAAATTAACAAGTACTGATTGCTTCTCATAGAAAAGGAAGGTATTGCTAATTTGGTGGATAAAAATAAAATAATACTGGTACTTACAAAACATGACAGTTAACATTTTCAGTTAGTTTATCGTTGGTCTAACATGAGCACTACTGTATACAGTTGCACTTGGTGAACAACTAAAACAACTACTAATAAACTACAAACATTCACTAAATGGTGCTGCAGAGAAAGAGGGACTTAAATAGTAGGAGAGAATCACTATTGAGGAGCTTTGGGGAAAAACTATGTCAACTTAAGCAAATCAAAATGTGAAGAAACAAATTTTGGCCTTGGGTAGGACACGCATTTTGAGAGAGATAAGTTAGTTGTGTATCATGTGCAGGACTTTGCAGAACCACCCCAGTGTTGTACGGCTGCTTGTGACTTCACTAGGACTTTGCATTCTGTAGTCTGCAATTGCTCGCTGAATGGTCAGCTCTCAATACCACTGCTAAAACCAAATCAAGGTGGTCTGCTGTTAAATCCGCCTGCAACTAGGAATCAAACCCAGCACCTTGGAGTTAAAACACACATTTGCCCGGCTCTCTAGCATAGTTAGCTAAACCAGATTGCGCGGTGACCGGGTGACGAACTCCTTGTGGTCTGGGTTCACTTCTGGGGGTAGGCAGAAAAGCCACATTTCTCACAGTTTTAAGGTATTTACAATGGAATCAAGGCCGAAAGGTTGCGATATCCATAATACCGAGCCTAAGGGTTAACAACTCATGGCTTCTGGATACTAAAACAAACAAACAACAAACAAAACACACATTTGCAATGCCTTAGCCACAAATGCTGACATTTTAAGAAAACCTGAGAAATAAAATATAATTCGAATGTCTTTAAACTGAAACCCAGGGCCACAGAAATAAAGGCAGACAAAAAAAGCACATGGGGAAGGGAATTAAAGGGTGAAGTTAACAAGATGCAGACGACAAGAGGTCGAGCCCAGACTGTCAGGCCAGAAATGTCTAGCCACCATGCTACTCCATCCCCTGATCAATTTATAATACTGCCAACAAACTACAGGGACTACTAGACATACAAATGAGTTCCTTTCTGTATATTACGTCATCAGAAGAGTTTATATTTTTTAACATTATTTTCACATGGGTCACAAAAATTGTATAAAAAACACAAAAATTCCATCTATGAACATTCGATTATTGTACATAATGTGAAAAATACATAATATGTACTAGACTGCATCAGTTCTATGATACTTTTTTGACCTAACCAATGTAGATATCTTATTGTTCTGCTATATTTTTTCATGTGGTTGTAAGGTCGAAAGGTTGGAGGTCAAGGAGAAGGTGTACTCACTTATATGACCCTATATGGTAGGACATCAGACGAAACTGGCCATCTGGCGGGATAAATGAGACAATTTTCTCAGACTGTGGAGAAAAAAGTCATTTCCTGCATTATACTTTTTTTTAAATGTGAAAAAGATGACACTTCATGAAGCATTAAATTATTTCATCAAGTCATTCAAAAATTGTTCAATATTCAAATCTGCTTTAACATGTACAACCGGAATTTTGCACTTTAGGGCCCTGTTACATGAAAAAATAATAAAGGAGCAGGATGGGGAAGGAGGGAGGGGGGGGGGGGGGATTTTTTAAAATTTGATATATTATATGTTTCGGTGTCTGCAGCTTAGGCGGTGCAAGCACGCTTCGTAATGTCGAGGTGCTGGATTCGATCCCTGCTGCGTGCAGTTTGTCCTGCGATGGTTTTGACCATGGTACCGAGAGCCAACGTCCAGAAAGTAATGGCAAACTAATGGACGTAAATTTGCCTAGAAAAACCACAACAGCCAGAAAGTGCTGGGGTTGGCTCTGCAACGTCTTGTAAAGGATATGCAACTAATAAATAAAATATTATATGTCCCTATATAGCCAATACTTTTGCTTCAGGAAGGCTTTAGTGTTGTAATTTTGCAGTAAAAAAAATTCAACTCAAAATTAATGCTGTCTAAACCTCCCCAAAAAATGTTGTCATGAAAGAGTTGATAGCAAATAAATCTCATAAAATATTTAAAACAACATATGTAAAAACAAAAGCTCCCAAAAAAACTTGTATAGATGAAGTGGCAGTCAGCCGCACTGTGCCTAAGCCCTCAGGTGTCACCACCTCTGCCTAAGCCCTCAGGTGTCACCACCTCTGCCTAAGCCCTCAGGTGTCACCACCTCTGTCTAAGCCCTCAGGTGTCACCACCTCTGTCTAAGCCCTCAGGTGTCACCACCTCTGTCTAAGCCCTCAGGTGTCACCACCTCTGTCTAAGCCCTCAGGTGTCACCACCTCTGTCTAAGCCCTCAGGTGTCACCACCTCTGTCTAAGCCCTCAGGTGTCACCACCTCTGTCTAAGCCCTCAGGTGTCATCACCTCTGCCTAAGCCCTCAGGTGTCATCCCCTCTGCCTAAGCCCTCAGGTGTCATCCCCTCTGTCTAAGCCCTCAGGTGTCACCACCTCTGTCTAAGCCCTCAGGTGTCACCACCTCTGTCTAAGCCCTCAGGTGTCACCACCTCTGCCTAAGCCCTCAGGTGTCATCCCCTCTGTCTAAGCCCTCAGGTGTCACCACCTCTGTCTAAGCCCTCAGGTGTCACCACCTCTGTCTAAGCCCTCAGGTGTCACCCTCAGGTGTCCCACCTCTGTCTAAGCCCTCAGTCAGCCTAAGCCCTCAGTGTCATCCCCTCTGCCTAAGCCTCTGTCTAAGCCCTCAGGTGTCATCCCTCTGCCTAAGCCCTCAGGTGTCATCCCCTCTGCCTAAGCCCTCAGGTGTCATCCCCTCTGCCTAAGCCCTCAGGTGTCATCCCCTCTGCCTAAGCCCTCAGGTGTCATCCCCTCTGCCTAAGCCCTCAGGTGTCATCCCCTCTGCCTAAGCCCTCAGGTGTCACCCCCTCTGTCTAAGCCCTCAGGTGTCATCCCCTCTGTCTAAGCCCTCAGGTGTCACCACCTCTGTCTAAGCCCTCAGGTGTCATCCCCTCTGCCTAAGCCCTCAGGTGTCACCACCTCTGTCTAAGCCCTCAGGTGTCATCCCCTCTGCCTAAGCCCTCAGGTGTCACCACCTCTGTCTAAGCCCTCAGGTGTCATCCCATCTGCCTAAGCCCTCAGGTGTCACCACCTCTGTCTAAGCCCTCAGGTGTCACCACCTCTGCCTAAGCCCTCAGGTGTCATCCCCTCTGCCTAAGCCCTCAGGTGTCATCCCCTCTGCCTAAGCCCTCAGGTGTCATCCCCTCTGCCTAAGCCCTCAGGTGTCATCCCCTCTGCCTAAGCCCTCAGGTGTCATCCCCTCTGCCTAAGCCCTCAGGTGTCACCCCTCTGTCTATGCCATCAGGTGTCATCCCCTCTGTCTATGCCATCAGGTGTCATCCCCTCTGTCTATGCCATCAGGTGTCACCCCTCTGTCTAAGCCTTCAGGTGTCATCCCCTCTGCCTAAGCCCTCAGGTGTCATCACCCTCTAAGCCTCAGGTGTTCATCCCCTCTGCCTAAGCCCTAAGCCCTCAGGTGTCACCACCTCTGTCTCTGCCTAAGCCCTCAGGTGTCACCACCTCTGTCTAAGCCCTCAGGTGTCATCCCCTCTGCCTAAGCCCTCAGGTGTCACCCCCTCTGTCTAAGCCCTCAGGTGTCACCACCTCTGTCTAAGCCCTCAGTGTCACCACCTCTGTCTAAGCTGTCACCACCTCTAAGCCCTCAGGTGTCATCCCCTCTGCCTAAGCCCTCAGGTGTCATCCCCTCTGCCTAAGCCCTCAGGTGTCATCCCCTCTGCCTAAGCCCTCAGGTGTCACCACCTGCCTAAGCCCTCAGGTGTCAAGCTAAGCCCTCAGGTGTCATCCCCTCTGCCTAAGCCCTCAGGTGTCATCCCCTCTGCCTAAGCCCTCAGGTGTCATCCCCTCTGTCTAAGCCCTCAGGTGTCACCACCTCTGTCTAAGCCCTCAGGTGTCACCACCTCTGTCTAAGCCCTCAGGTGTCACCACCTCTGTCTAAGCCCTCAGGTGTCATCCCCTCTGTCTAAGCCCTCAGGTGTCATCAGCCTAAGCCCTCAGGTGTCATCCCATCTGCCTAAGCCCTCAGGTGTCCTAAGCCCTCAGGTGTCATCCCCTCTGCCTAAGCCCTCAGGTGTCATCACCTCTGCCTAAGCCCTCAGGTGTCACCACCTCTGTCCCTCAGGTGTCACCACCTCTGTAAGCACTCAGGTGTCACCACCTCTGTCTAAGCCCTAAGGTGTCACCACCTCTGCTAAGCCCTCAGGTGTCACCACCTCTGTCTAAGCCCTCAGGTGTCACCCCCTCTGTCTAAAGCCCTCAGGTGTCACCACCTCTGTCTAAGCCCTCAGGTGTCATCCCTCTGCTAAGCCTCAGGTGTCACCACCTCTGTCTAAGCCCTCAGGTGTCATCCCCTCTGTCTCCCTCAGGTGTACCACCTCTGCCCTCAGGTGTCACCACCTCTGTCTAAGCCCTCAGGTGTCACCACCTCTGCCTAAGCCCTCAGGTGTCATCCCCTCTGTCTAAGCCCTAGGTGTCACCACTCCTGTCTAAGCCCTCAGGTGTCACCACCTCTGTCTAAGCCCTCAGGTGTCACCACCTCTGTCTAAGCCCTCAGGTGTCACCACCTCTGCCTAAGCCCTCAGGTGTTCCTCCCTCTGCCTAAGCCCTCAGGTGTCATCCCTCTGTCTAAGCCCTCAGGTGTCACCACCTCTGTCTAAGCCCTCAGGTGTCACCACCTCTGTCTAAGCCCTCAGGTGTCACCACCTCTGCCTAAGCCCTCAGGTGTCATCCCCTCTGCCTAAGCCCTCAGGTGTCATCCCCTCTGCCTAAGCCCTCAGGTGTCATCCCCTCTGCCTAAGCCCTCAGGTGTCATCACCTCTGCCTAAGCCCTCAGGTGTCACCACCTCTGTCTAAGCCCTCAGGTGTCATCCCCTCTGCCTAAGCCCTCAGGTGTCATCCCCTCTGCCTAAGCCCTCAGGTGTCATCCCCTCTGCCTAAGCCCTCAGGTGTCATCCCCTCTGCCCTCAGCCCACCTCTGTCTAAGCCCTCAGGTGTCACCACCTCTGTCTAAGCCCTCAGGTGTCACCACCTCTGTCTAAGCCCTCAGGTGTCATCCCCTCTGTCTAAGCCCTCAGGTGTCACCACCTCTGTCTAAGCCCTCAGGTGTCATCCCATCTGCCTAAGCCCTCAGGTGTCACCACCTCTGTCTAAGCCCTCAGGTGTCATCCCATCTGCCTAAGCCCTCAGGTGTCACCACCTCTGTCTAAGCCCTCAGGTGTCACCACCTCTGTCTAAGCCCTCAGGTGTCACCACCTCTGCCTAAGCCCTCAGGTGTCATCCCCTCTGCCTAAGCCCTCAGGTGTCATCCCCTCTGCCTAAGCCCTCAGGTGTCATCCCCTCTGCCTAAGCCCTCAGGTGTCATCCCCTCTGCCTAAGCCCTCAGGTGTCATCCCCTCTGCCTAAGCCCTCAGGTGTCAGCCTAAGCCCTCAGTGTCATCCCTCTGTCTACCACCTCTGTCTAAGCCCTCAGGTGTCACCAGCCTCAGGTGTCTAAGCCCTCAGGTGTCAGCCCCTCAGGTGTCATCCCCTCTGCCTAAGCCCTCAGGTGTCACCACCTCTGTCTAAGCCCTCAGGTGTCATCCCCTCTGCCTAAGCCCTCAGGTGTCACCACCTCTGTCTAAGCCCTCAGGTGTCTAAGCCCTCAGGTGTCACCACCTCTGTCTAAGCCCTCAGGTGTCACCCCTCTGTCCTAAGCCCTCAGGTGTCCACCACCTCTGTCTAAGCCCTCAGGTGTCACCACCTCTGTCTAAGCCCTCAGGTGTCACCCCTCTGTCTAAGCCCTCAGGTGTTCATCCCCCTGTCTCACCACCTCTGCTAAGCCCTCAGGTGTCACCACCCTCTGCCTAAGCCCTCAGGTGTCACCACCTCTGCCTAAGCCCTCAGGTGTCATCCCCTCTGCCTAAGCCCTCAGGTGTCATCATAAGCCAGGTGTCATCCCCTCTGCCTAAGCCCTCAGGTGTCATCCACTCTGTGTCAGGTGTCACCCCTCTGCCTAAGCCCTCAGGTGTCAGGCCCTCAGTGTCATCCCCTCTGCCTAAGCCCTCAGGTGTCACCACCTCTGTCTAAGCCCTCAGGTGTCATAAAGCCCTCAGGTGTCACCACCTCTGTCTAAGCCCTCAGGTGTCACCACCTCTGCCTAAGCCCTCAGGTGTCACCACCTCTGTCTAGCCCTCAGCCCACCTCTGCCTAGGCCCTCAGGTGTCATCCCCTCTGTCTAAGCCCTCAGGTGTCACCACCTCTGCCTAAGCCCTCAGGTGTCATCCCCTCTGCCTAAGCCCTCAGGTGTCATCCCCTCTGCCTAAGCCTCAGGTGTCATCCCCTCTGGCCCTCAGGTGTCATCCCCTCTGCCTAAAGCCTCAGGTGTCAGCCCTCAGGTGTCACCACCTCTGTCTAAGCCCTCCACCTCTGTCTAAGCCCTCAGGTGTCACCCCAGGTCTGTCTAAGCCTCAAGCCTAAGCCCTCAGGTGTCACCACCTCTGTCTAAGCCCTCAGGTGTCATCCCATCTGCCTAAGCCCTCAGGTGTCACCACCTCTGTCTAAGCCCTCAGGTGTCACCACCTCTGTCTAAGCCCTCAGGTGTCATCCCCTCTGTCTAAGCCCTCAGGTGTCACCACCTCTGTCTAAGCCCTCAGGTGTCATCCCCTCTGCCTGCTTGTACTGTAATAATTTTAGTAAACTGAACAACCCCTTTCAACAGATCAGGCACATTGGACATACAGTGTTAGATCTATATTTTATAGACTGATCGACACTCGTGGGCGATGTGGTCAGCATCACACCGACCACCTTTACTTCCCAGACTTTACCTGCTACACATTTAATGCTAGGTTGACCTGGAAGACAATGCCGTTTTTGAAAAAGTCTAGCTCTGTTAAGATTTGAACCTATGACCTTCTGATTCGCAGGCCACTATGCCATGGCGGTTCCCAGCATAAACATATGACCGGATTTTTGGCAGTAAATGATAATATACAAACTTTTCTTTTCACCCTTTAATTTTTCTTTTCAAATCTTACTTTAGGGTGTTACAGGGAAAACAGCAATGAAGAAAACAGAACAAAAGAAAAATACACAGTAGCAACAGAAAAATATAGTAATGAACAAAATAACAACAGAGAAAGACAGATGGGATTAAAGAATAAAATGAAGAAATGACACAAAAATGAATAAAAGAAATGTGAAAAAAAACCAAAGAAAGCAGAATAATGCCTCCCAAAAAAGAAAAAAAACAAAACAAAAAAAGATTAGAATACATACCTCCCATCTACTAAACCTCACACAAGGATGAAAACTGACATCATCCAAAATTCGAGGGTTGACAAACGTCAAGGTCAGATCTGGCATGCCACTTAGTTTGACCTGGCTGTCAATCTGGGGATCACATTATTATAAAATTACATGAACAGCAATTACATTAACATTAAAGAGTTGAGTTAAGTTACAATCAACATCACAGCTCTTAGGACATTCCTGTAAGTGCTCCATCTCCATCTTCGGCGACCAGTGTTGAAAGGACACCATTACAGAGTATACACTATCATGACTGTCTGTTTTACCACTTCTTTAGGGCGGTGAAGATGGGGCAGCTTTGAGCGTGAGAATTAAGGGATGCCTGGCTAGTGCTGTCTCCACGGTCTGTGCAGGTCAGGATGTTTAATTCTGCCACTGACAGAAAAACTCTTATCATCTAACTGGGGTTAGAACTCAGGTCTCCCGCACGAGAGCCCGGTGTAACCACTCGGCCAGCTAATAAAAAGTATAATGTTCATTAACCACTCACTCTCTTATACTCTAGAACACATATTCCACAGGATGCTGATGCATACATTGTGGTTGGTGGGTGGGGTGGGGGGCAAATGAACACCTACAGGTGTGAGTGAAGTGCTGTGAGGATAATCCATATATCTTTTCTTGACTGCGACTTTCCTTCTTATTGTTTTCTTCCTTAGTGACTGTAAAAGAGTCCACTACCCACATTTCTATGCTGCTAAAGGAAAGATGCATGTTGTCAGTAATGTTAACTTTGATTTCCTTGTTGGTACTTAGCCACAGACTTGTAATGCTGTTTAATCTAATCAGGAGCAAATCATGGAGGGGAACAATGACCAGAGCAATCCTGGAGAAGGACGACCAGAGCAATCATGGAGGGCAACAATGACCAGAGCAATCCTGGAGGGCAACAATCACCCGAGCAATCCTGGAGAGCAACAATGACCAGAGCAATCCTGGAGGGCAACAATGACCAGAGCAATCCCGGAGAGGAACAATAACCAGAGCAATCCTGGAGAGCAACAATGACCAGAGCAATCCTGGAGAGGAACAATGACCAGAGCAATCCTGGAGAGCAACAATGACCAGAGCAATCCTGGAGGGCAACAATGACCAGAGCAATCCTGGAGGGCAACAATGACCAGAGCAATCCTGGAGGGAAACAATGACCAGAGCAATCCTAGAGGGCAACAATGATCAGAGCAATCCTGGAGAGGAACAATGACCAGAGCAATCCTGGAGGGCAACAATGACCAGAGCAATCCTGGAGGGCAACAATGACCAGAGCAATCCTGGAGGGGAACAATGACCAGAGCAATCCTGGAGAGGAACAATGACCAGAGCAATCCTGGAGGGCAACAATGACCAGAGCAATCCTGGAGGGCAACAATGACCAGAGCAATCCTGGAGGGGAACAATGACCAGAGCAATCCTGGAGAGCAACAATGACTAGAGCAATCCTGGAGAGGAACAATGACCAGAGCAATCCTGGAGAGGAACAATGACCAGAGCAATCCTGGAGGGCAACAATGACCAGAGCAATCCTGGAGGGCAACAATGACCAGAGCAATCCTGGAGGGGAAGAATGACCAGAGCAATCCTGGAGGAGAACAATGACCAGAGCAATCCTGGAGGGGAACAATGACCACCATATGATGCTAGACTCATATTTGTGTGGACTAACTGGCCCTTGATAGGTCAAGCTCACACAAGTTGCCTTTACTTCCCAGGCTATTACCTGGTACCCCTTTTAGACTGGAGCAGTCTAGAAGACAAGGTGAGTTTTTCCAAGTCTGTGAGGATTTGTACGTGTGTGTGTGTGTGTGTGCACGCGTAGCTGTTTGCGTGTGTGCATGTATATATGCATGTATGTGTGCGTACATGTATGGCTGTGCGTGTATGTATGCATCCATGCAGGTGTGTATACATATATTCATACATGCACGCACGTATGAACATATGTATGTATGTATCTATGTATGTATGCAGGACTTAATGTATGTATGTACGTACATATTTATGTACGTACATATGTCATACATATTTATGTACATATGTAATATGTATGTATTTATGTATGTATGTATGTATGTATGTTTGTGTGTAAGTATGGATGCATGTGTGCGTGCCTGTTTGGTATTTGTGTATATCTGAATGTACAGTATGCATTTACGATCTACACCTGGGTGTATTTTACTTGATAATCCCATGACGTATATTGTTAAAAGATTTGATTTGTATATAAAACATAAGTGCAGTATAAAATGTTTGTGTTTGGAAAGGCTGAATGTAAAGACTTGCATGTGCCTAATTTGTGAGCCTTTGATATTTAAGTTTGTTCATTTGTTCCCTGTTGTCAGGAATAGGATATCAATTATATTTGTGTGTTACTGCCAGTTAGTCGTCCCCACGTGGCAAGCCTAACGGCTGAAAGGGGTTTCTGGGACCTCTCCACGGCTCATCCTCATCCGCATGGTGGCACTTTGAGTCACTGGGTGTTTTATCGCTTGTGTGATATCCTGGTGGGTTACAACAAGAGAGAGAGAGGAGAGAGAGAGAGAGAGAGAGAGAGAGAGAGAGAGAGAGAGAGAGAGAGAGAGAGAGAGAGAGAGAGAGAGAGATATCAATTGTGTGGTGTCCTTTTACTGTAAAATTTATTTTTACCTCTGAGCCTATATTCTGCTTGAATGTGACATTAAATCTAGTTTGCTTCATTCTCAACTCAGTCACATCTATTCATAATCATCATCTGGTATAGTGCCAATAACATATAAACATACTCACATATCCTTGAATCTCCGCTGTGACAGCAATGCCAGCTTTATCAATGATTGCATCAATCTCCTCAATCATGTCAAAGTAGGCCTCGTTGTTGGTGTACTTGACCCCTGTTCTTCTCCAAGGAACAGTGGACAGCTGACCACTGGGCAAAGTTGCCCCAAACCTGATGACAATATTATACACGAGTCTAAGCAAGGAAGTTGATTATTACAGTTATTAAGCAGCTGGCTGTTTTTTATAAGCCTATGAAACTATTAAAGATTAAACAGTATTAAAAGTCTGTGGCTGAGTACCAGCAAGGAAATCAAATTTAAAATTACCGAGAGCATGCATCTTTCCTGTAGCAGCAGATGGATGTGAGTAGGGGACCATTCTGCAGTCACTAAGGAAGACAATTTGGGTTTTTGAGCTCAAATGTTTTAGAAGGATTCTCAGAACACCATGGACCAAGAAATAATTACATCCTAAAAGATCTAAAAATCTCGGAAAATGAAATATTTGGCTTTATCAAGTGCTACAGTGAATTGGAAAGAATAGTAGCAGACGGCATAATTCCAGGAAAGAAAGGCAGGAGCTGACCAGCATGAAGATGAGCACTGGACATAAGAGACACTTTGGGTAGGATGGGCATCAGGCAGGAGACTGAATTTCTTACTGAGGATCAGAACAGCATTATGTCAAGGACCCGCTAAAACTTGGTGACTAATTTCTTTGTTTAAAGGCAAGAACCCTTGCCAAGCCAGGGACATATCAGGTACATGATTGTGTAACCGTACCGGTGCCCTAATATAACTGTTACGCAGTTCATGGGGTTTCTGGGATTCACCCCTGTTTGATTCTCCTTCTGGGGTGTTAGGGAAGCAAACCTGGAGGGGAACAATGACCAGCATATATGCTAGACTCATTTTCTTATAGACTAACTGGCCCTTTATGGGTCAACCCCACACAAGCTGCCTTTACTTCCCAGGTTATTACCTGGTACCCCTTTTAGGCTGGATCAGACTAGGAGACAAGGTGAGTTTTTCCAAAACTCGGTAGGGAATCTGCTATTTCACTCACCTCAAATAAGTTGTCTATATCAGCAATTTTGTCTCAAATATAAATTCCAACATTATTTTACATTAATTCAGTGGTCCATATAGTTTGTGTTCCACTGTTATTCTTTCTGGCCAAAAGGTTTGCCTTTATGTATCATATTCGGCACAGTTCTGGAGTACAAGTTCTGCTGTCTGGGACACCTTTCCACACATGCACATGGCTGACACGCTTTTCTTGATCGTGTGTACATGTTGTTATGTAACAGGCTATGCCCTGTTCTGAGACGAAGGATAATGGCTTGTTCTGAACTGTCCATAAGAGAATTGTCATCTTGTGTTGGGACTGGTGGTTTCCTGATTTATTTAATGAACCTTTTCTTTTAATACAGCAGGAACAATGTGAAGAATAATTTAAAGCAGCAAACAAAACTAAAACAAAAAGAGAGAATAATATAACACTGAATGTGAGGTGTGGAATACTCACCCAGAAGCTTTGCCAGTGACTGTGTCTGCGATGGTCCTGAGAAAGTTTGGTGGCTTGATGAGTTCTTTGAGAACATTAGACTCCACAGCCAAGGGGAATCCATTGTCCAGCATTTCATCCAGTATCTGTCAGAAAGACCAGCATGCAGTCTTTTCTCAAGCTACAGTTTCTCTTTACAAAGTGTAGCCCATTTAGTTCATGTAAGCTCAAGTACACACTGCAAGCAATCATTCTTAGCTCAGGTATACAGTGTAAGCAATCATTCTTAGATCAGGTACACAGTGAAAGCAATCTTTCTTAGATGAGGTACACAGTGTAAGCAATCATTCTAGGCTCAGGTACACAGTGTAAGCAATCATTCTTAGATGAGGTACGCAGTGTAAGCAATCATTCTTAGATGAGGCACACAATGTGAGCAATCATTCTAAGCTGAGGCACACAGTGTAAGCAATCATTCTTAGCTCAAGTACACAGTGAAAGCAATTATTCTTAGATGAGGTACACAGTGTAAGCAATCATTCTTAGATGAGGTACACAGTGTAAGCAATCATTCTTAGCTCAGGTACACAGTGTAAGCAATCATTCTTAGCTCAGGTACACAGTGAAAGCAATCATTCTTAGCTGAGGTACACAGTGTAAGCAATCATACTTAGCTGAGGTACACAGTGTAAGCAATCATTCTTAGATGAGGTACACAATGCAAGCAAAACTGTCATTCTGACGCAGTTCATCTATAATATGTAGGAAATACAATTAACTTTCAACTTATGTACAGAGTGTTAAAAAACAAATAATTCCTGAACTCGAGCACATAGTGTATTAATTAAATACACTATTTTTTTAAATAAAATAAAGTGAGGACAATAAATCCTTCCTTAACTAGAGAGGTATCGAAAACACAATAATTTCCTTCCTGATTGGGTTCCGGGGCCCTATTGAAGGGAAAACAAGAAGACATACTGCCTACCCAAAAGCATGTCATAAGAGTCGACTAATAAGAACTCTCTTCTAAATCAGAGTGCATCTACCTGAGAGGCAGGGAACCAACAGTCTGCATACAAGTCAGGTATGTAAAACAGATGTACATGCAACACTCAGGTTATGGGATAGGACTACAACCCAGCAGTGGATGAACAACCAGAACTCTCCCCTGGAGTTTACAGCTGGTGAACGCGAAGCAGGAGAAGAAGAAAACTCATATGTGCAGTGTAGGCAATGCAAATCAATATAGAAATGAAAACATGTGAAGATATCAAGGTGTGTCTAAATAAAGTAAGATTACTGACACATTCAATGATGTGAAATGTGAACTAAATTAATTCTTCCATGGTATGTTTTATCTCCAATTAATTAATGAGTTAAAATTTATCAAAAGGGAAATAATTAAAACAAAGCATGAAATGTTTATACTGTAATTAAACTGAGAACTGTTTTTACTGACTGTATTTACCACTATTAAACAGAGGTCCAAGAAAAATTATGAAAATAAAATGAGAGAATTCTAAAGGAGTGGAGAAATAAGAGAAATGTCTGGGCAACCACTAGTATCAACCGTTATAAGACAGAGAAGATGGAGCTACATTGGACGCATTCTGAGAAGAAACCAGCAGAGAATCACCAAACAGGCATTAAAATGGGAAATAAAGGGATTAAGGAGGTGAGGATGCAGAAAAGAAAACCTAAGATGAAATGATGAGAGAGACCAAAGCTGCTGGACTGAATTCCATCCATGATATTGAACTAATTCCATCCATGATTTTGAACTAATTCCATCCATGATATTGAACTAATTCCATCCATGATATTGAACTAATTCGGACAGAATAGAACGGAATGGAGTGAAAGAATGCGAGCCCTGGTGATCATAAAATGGTACAAGAGGATAATGAATAAATTAATTTACCATTTTGTTAGGGTTGTGGGCGTGGGGGCGGAAGGAAATGAGCCAGAGGATTTAGGATTTTGGGGCTGTGTGGCTAGTGAAGTCACCATGGACTGTGTAAGTTAGGACTTTATTTTTGCCGTGGTAGAAGAAATCCCATCAGAGGATTAAGACCTTTGTTTGTTTCTTAACTACTCAGTCAGCAGCTTTCCCTGTACTATAGATACACGAGTTTAAACTTAAAGTTAAGGTCGTGAGAACTTCCTTGCACCAGGTTTCATCCCATATAACATGATCTCTCTATACACAGTGAGTAGCCACCTTCTGAGAGCATCACACAAAGCATGAACTCCATTCCTCCACTGACAATCCCCAGGGATCTCTTTAGCAAGAGAGGAAACGTTTTTATCAACAAATCATTTTGACATCTACACTGTTTGTCTGAAATTACCTCATACACAACGACAATATGTTCTTTGAGGGATGTCTCACTACACTCAGAAAAGTAGTCCACCATCGTGTCAAAGATTCTGTGAAGAAACTCAATCACAAACAAGGGTGCAACTGAAGGGAGAGAAAGAAAAATTATACTCTACATGAAATAACAACCCTCAGTTAGTAGCATGTTGTCATCGTCTACACCCTTAATAAGTGCCGTGGTTAATATCTGCTGTATTATGCAAATTGGCGCCCTAATTGCCAAAATGTATGCATACACTCAGCCATAAATGTTGTAGATAAATAAAGAGAAAATAAAACTTATTTTAATGTGATGCCTTTAATTAATGGTCTAGACGCTCAGCTGTGGATCAGAAGGTCATGGGTTCACTTCCTGGCAAGGGCCTGATTATTTTCAAAAATGACCTCGGCTTCTAGGTCGACTTAGCCTTGAGTAGGTATACTCCTGGGAACTAAAGACGGCCGGCGTGATGCTGACCACATCGCCCACCAAGTGCCATGTGGTCTATAAAATATCGTTCTAGCCCTATATACCCAAAAGGCCTGAAAGGTGTGGAAAAGGGTCCATTACTTTTACTTTAAATATTGCAGCTTTTGGATTGCCAATTACAGATTGCCAACATCTTTTTATTTTCTCTTTTGTCTCCTCTTCCTCAATTGCTTCTTTTTCTTATGGGATTCCTGCCGCAAAGTAGTCAGGTTGTATGTTCTTGCTCTTCTGCATTCCCCCCTTAAAAGAGCATTTGGCACATTTATATTGTGGTTTACAGCTAGACTATGATAACTACACCTTTCCGCACAACAGCAAACTTCTAAACAGTTGCCCTTTATGGCATGCTTGTTAGGGTGCCAGTGAGTTTATTCTTATTTTTCTAAAAGCAAGTTTCCTGAACCACCATGGGTTCTGTACAGTTTGGATCGTGAAAACCTTTCCCCTCTAGATTAGAGAAACTAATCTGTTTAAATCACTTCTAATTACTGGCATTATGACTGCAATGGTTGGGGCATATAGAGAATCTCAGACACTAACATGACTGTGTGACATGGGAGTAAAGCATGGTGAGGATAATGACAAAATAGCGCTAAGATAATAAGAAATAATATTTAAAAAAATCGTTATCATGATTCTCGACTATTCATGTTAATTTTTAATCTGTCATGTGAAAAGTGAATTTAGTGATAACTTACCTTCCGTGGTAAGAACAGCAACAAAGTATAACTTGTTGCGGAAGATATGAATGATGTAATGATGAGGGGTAACAATAACTGGTGGCACATCTTCTGGGTTTGATGCCTGTATGAACACAAACAGCATGTGGAACATTTAGGTATTTTATGAATCTAAATTTATCATGATTATTCATTCCTACAGTCTTGAGTAAACACAAATGGCATCTGGACCATAAAGGTACTGCATAAATCTTTACTCTGCATAATTTATTCCTGTTTTCTTAAGGAAACATGAAAAGCTGGCAAAACAGTCAAGTATTTCATTTAGAACTTTAGTTTTCCCTGACTTGTTTCTCTAGTCAAGGGTTAACACAAACTATAGTCTGTGTCTTAGTACTGCATGAAATTCTTTCTTTTCTTTTGACTGATCTTGAGAAAACAAACAAAAAACTGAGGCATTTTGTTCTTTATTTTTCTTTTGTAGGTATCTGTTTTCTCTTATCTTGGATGGAAACAAACAAGAGACAGAATACTTAATATTTTATCAATCTTCTTCTTTGTCTCTTCTGCTATTGGTTGGTTGACTAACAGACGAATGATAAAGACATGGAAGCTGCAATTGACAGTAGACAAAGTGACTCAGTGGTGTACAGAAATCAGGGCTGTCGTCCACCCGGAAAAGGCGTCTGTTTTGTGGTGTTCTCTGGACAACAGAATCGTTTAAACTAACGTCCCAAGTCTCACGATAGATGGTAGAAACGTCAACAGAGAGAGCAAACTGAAGTATCTGGGAATTAAATTTGACAGGAGCCTGTCATTTAAGGACCATGTGGAGAGTGTTGTGACAAGATGTCAAAAAGGACTTAGTGCACTTAAGACTATGGGTGCAATTGACATAATGCAGAGGATGCTTTTCACACTATATCTGCACCTGATCCTGTCAGTGGTGGATTATGGCCTGGAACTGCTTACCGTCTCAAAGAGTCAGATGGACAAACTAGAGCGCATATAGAACGCGGCTATGCGGGTCATTCTGGGTTGCACCAGAGACACCCCAGTGGTGTGTATGCGATACATCCTTGGTTTGCCGACTGTTGCAGGTAGGCACAAGGTGCTGCAGGCGAAGTCGCATTTCAGGGTAGCTGCAGACACAGACCACCCTCTGCATGAAGCTCTGGGTGCAGTTAAGGGTCAGCGGCTGATAAGAGGGAGGTCATGGATGGCTCAGGCAGAAGACACAATCAGACAAGTTTGCATCCTTAAGAACATTAGGCGAAGAGAGAAGTGAGTCAAAGTGCTACCTTAACAGTCAGACTTGTGTAGAGTCATAATCACGCTGAGCCGGGAATGCGGAGACTGGCCAGCAGGTGCCACAGAGGTGGAAATTCAGCAAATTAATCCAAGATAATGCTCGCTCAGAGGATTTGATCATTTACAGAGACGGTTCAGTGTCAAGAGGCAAAAGAAGTACCTGGGGCTTCTTAGCAAAAGTTAATGGTCGACGTCTGGTGCTGGAGCGCCTAGCATATGATACCACAACATCTAGCTTAAGAATGGAGGTGGAGGCGGTCACTGTAGCTTTCCGCTGGCTAGAGAAAACGACACACACACACACACATCGTGACTGTAACTGATTCAGAAAGCATGCTGAGGAAGATCAGAACAGGTATGCATCGTGCAAAGTGGCATGCTTTGCTGCGGAGGACACGAGTGAGGAGTATTGTCTGGATTTTTTAACCGGGTACGCCGGTATGTTGGGAAATGAACAAGTGGACAGACTGGCTGGCTCTGCACATCTGGTGGAATACTGATACATGATAAGGCAGATGTGGTTA